TTGGAAGCTAAGCACTGGCAGCAAGGTTGGGACGAAGCTGGAGCCGCTTACAAAGAAGAGGTGCTGGTATTGCGAGACAAGCTTTTTCTGAAGGGTTGGACAAGTGCTCTGACCGTTGCTCAAATTCCTGAAGGGTCTCCTTTGTTTCTAGATATTCCTATTCCCTCAAAGCCCTTGGGTCTGAAGGCTACTGCTACCCCTGCTACTACTCCAGCTAAGATTTCTTCAAGAACTGATTCTGCAAACAAGACTTTGGAGAGCGATACTGCCAATGAAACGGTGAATGTTGAAGGGGGTGAAACCCTGGAAACTGAAGCTGTGGGAGATGTGGTTAAGGAGGCTTCTGCTTTCCAGGAAGTTGGAGCTATCTCTACTTTTCCTCCCCAGGATGGCCCGGATAAGATTGTGGATGCTACTCCTGAAATTCCTCCTGCTGATGAAAGTTGAAGTGACCTTTGGAACGATTTGAAGTTTTTCTTTTTACATTTTACTTTTTCTCATTTTTTACTTTTCTGCTGTATTAGAGCTCGGTCTTTCTGACGAGTTGCCCCCTTAAGTTGGTCAAGACAATTTTCTTTCTTCTTGCTGCTGTTTTGCGAGGCTAGCTATGCCTTTGGTAGAATTTTCCTTTTGACATTGCAATCTGATATGTTTTGCTTTCATACCTGCGTTGTTCATACTATTTGGCCCCGGTCGAGCACTGTTGAGACCACAGGGTCAAATAGATGCTCGGTCTGCATGGTTGTATTGATCTTTTTAATTGAATGAGAGTAACTTACTCAGGTCCAGGTTGATTTCAAGAAAAACAATTGTTTGGCCCCTCCTGGAGCTAAGTAAGATTGGTACTGAAGAACTCGCTCTCTGGGAGAGTTGCTTAAGTTGATGTTGATTTTGATAGCATAAGTGCCATTGAATGGGACAAAAGATTCAAAGGGAAGATGTCATACTCAGGTTCAGGTTGGTTCCGAGAAACAGTTGTTTGTCCCCGCCTGGTGCTGAGTAAGATTGCTGTTGAAAGTTTGGTCTTGAAAGAATTATCCAAGTCTGTTCCAACTTTGTTTGGATGCAACAGTACTGAAGTGTTGATGTGATGATCCTTAAGAAATTCTGTGATTTCCAAGAAAATGAATTGGGCATCAAAAAATTCGTTAGGGCGGTTTCCACCAAGCAGTTCCACTTGGCTAAAATCCATTTTGGTGGCCAAACATAACTCCACCAAGCAATCCCACTTGGCATGTTTGAGTGTAGACCAAAACTAAATTCCGTTCGGTCGTTCTGAAACTTTTTCCGTTTAGTTAAAACCAAAGCTAAATCCGGTTAGTAAACACTAAAGCTAATTCCGCTTGGTAAACACCAAAGCTAATTCCGTTTGGTAAACACCAAAGCTAATTCCATTTGGTAAACATCAAAGCTAAGTATGTTTATTTTGAAATATGCCCCTAGGGCTTGGATTATAAAGTTCAAGTTAAGCAATAATCTGCTCTAACCACAAAGCTGTATAGGTGCTTGGAAACAAAAGTTCAAAGAAATAGGGAGGCATTTTCATTAAGCAAAAGATAAATGCTTTTATACTTGATAGATAATTGTCGAGCCGAGGTATGGCCTTACCCTTGACATCCTCCAAGTAGTATGCTCTATTTCCAGCAACGACTGTAACCTTGTATGAACCTTCCCAATTAGGTCCTAATTTTCCTTGACCAGGCACCCTTTTCTGATCCATGACTTTCCTCAAAACCAATTCCCCAGGTGTGAATTGCCTTGGGAAAACTTTTTGGTTGAAACCCTTGATGAGCTGCTGCTGATAGGTTACAAGTCTGATCAGTGTTGCTTCTCTTCGGCCCTCTGCCATATCCAGTGCTTGTGCAATAGCTTCCTTATTACTTGCATCTTTAAACAGTTCCGATCGGAGGGTTGGGAGACCAACTTCAAGTGGAATAACAACCTCCATTCTGTAAGTTAGGGAGTAGGGTGTTTCCCCCGTTGAGCGCTGTGCCGTGGTTCAGTAGGCCCATAACACATGGGGTAACTCTTCAACCCATTTCCTTTTTGCACTTTCGAGCCACTTCTTTACTTCGTTGATGATGGTTTTGTTTGACGCCTCTGCCTGCCTATTACTCTGTGGGTAGCCCAGAGAGGAGTTCCGATATTCGATCCTGAGGTCGGCACAAAATTTCCTGAAGATCTTTCTGTCAAACTGTGTTCCATTGTCTGCAATCAGTACCCGCGGGATGCCGAAATGGACCATGACATTCTTCATGACAAATCGCTTTGTGTCTGCTTCTTTGATGCTTGCCAGTGCTTCAACTTCAACCCACTTGGTGAAATAGTCGGTTGTAGCGATGAAGAATCGTCTATTCCCAGTGCCCCATGCCAAAGGTCCAACGATATCCAGACCCTACTGGGCAAAAGGCCACGGGCTAATAAGTGGAGTAAGAGTTTTGACTGGTTGATGAATTAGTGGAGCAAACCTCAGACACTTTTCACACTTTTGAACATATTGCTGTGCATCCTGCTGCTTCCGTGGCCACCAGTACCCATGAGTGAGGGGTCGGTGTGCTAATGACCTTCCACCAACGTGGCATCCACAAATCCCGTCGTGAATTTCGTAAAGACCATTTTCGACCAGATTTGGATGCAAACATAACAGATAAGGACCGAGATAAGAGCGTCTGTAATAGCTTTCCAGATGGTGAGATCCAAAACCGAGCTGATTTGTGTCGAACTTTGTTGGCTTCCTTCTTGTCTTCAGGGAGAGTGTTGGATTTTAGAAAAACAAGTATTGGATTCATCCAGCTCGGCTCTAGGTTAGTGCAGAGGACTGGAGATGTAATGCTTGGTTCTGGCACAAACTTAACCCACACTTTTCTAGCATCATTGGCATCTACTGATGAGCCGAGGTAGGCCAGAGCATCAGCGTGACTGTTTCTGTCCCGATTGATTCGTTCCACTCGTATGGATTGGAATTTTTTAAGTAAATCCCTTGCCTTGTTTGCATATATGGCCATTCTTTTATCTTGTGCTTCATAGACCCCAGTGAGTTGGTTGACAACCAACTGAGAATCGCTGAAAACCAGGAGTTGTTTTTCACTGAAGTGTTCGGCACTGCGTAAACCAGTTAACAGTGCTTCATATTCTGCTTCATTGTTAGAGGCCTTCCAACCAAGCCTAAGAGCATGCTCCCAAATAAATCCTTTTGGGGATATAAGTACTACCCTTGCCCCCGAGCCTCAGTTATTGGATGATCCGCCAACGTAGAGCTGCCAGATGTCACCAATGAAGAGTTTCGATGCTTCTGAAGCGCATTACTTTCCCAATTCGGTGGTGCGCGACACCTATATCGAGCTGGAGTTTTGATGTTCGGTGCTCTGGGTGGGAGCGAATTTAGCGACGAAATTCGCCAAGACCTAGGCCTTGATTGCTATCCTGGGTTGATACCGAATGTCAAACTCACCAAGCTCAACCGCCCATTTCGCTGTTCGGCCGGAGAAATCGGCTCAGCTGAAGACAGATCTGAGGGGGAATTTAGTGAGGACATTGATGGTGTGACCTTGAAAGTAATGTTGTAGCTTCCTTGAGGCAATAAGTAGTGCGTAAGCCAGCTTCTCTAGGAGAGTCTTGCTAACGTATTACACCGGCCTCTATTCCTTTTCAACTTCGCGAATCAGTACTACGCTTACGGCGTGATCTGAAACTGCCAGATACAGTTACAGTTACAGTTCTTCCCCCGGTTTTGGAGTGGACAGGAGAGGTGGTGTACTGAGATACTTCTTGAGGCCTTGCAGTGCTTTAGTACATTCAGGACCCCATTCGAATGTAACCTTTTTCCTTAGTAGCTGAAAGAAAGGCTTCATTCGATCTGAAGACTTGCTAATGAACCGATTCAGGGCGGCTGCCATTCCGGCCAGCATCTGTAGTTCCTTAGGCCTCGTTTGGGGACTTACTTTTTTAGCCAATTAGCTAAAAAGTTACTAAATTAGCCAAAAAGCCAACAACTCATAACCAAAAGTCAAAGATTCTCTTTTCTCTCTACTTTTTGCACATCTTTTCGTAATTAGCCAAAAAGTCATCCCAAACATACAAGTTTTTTTTACCTACCTTTTTAGCCAAATAGCCAAAAAGTTACTAAATTAGCCTGTTCTCAAACGAGGCCTTACCCTTGTTGGTATTTCGAGCTCTTGTATTGCTTTGATTTGATTCGGATTTGCCTCAATTTCTCTGTGAGTCACCATGTACCCTAAGAATTTCCCTGTTCCTACCTCGAAAGCGCATTTCGAGGCATTGAGGCAAAGCTTATGGTTTTTCAGGATATTGAAAACTTCTCTCAGTCGTGTTGGACATTGACAACTTCGGACAGTCCTAAATGCATGTCCAACACTTTTTCAACGTGTCTTAATTAAAAAATCAAATGCATAATATCTGGCTCTTTATCGACCCATCGTGGATACTTTGATTACTTCTTGAACTCTTTGAATACGTCCTATGTGATGAATACCTTTATAATAACAATGGTTTGCATTCTTTTATGCACTCTAAATATGTTTTGAAATATCATTAAAATGAATACATCTTGCGTATTTCAATGTTGTGTAAGAATATAATTGTTACGTGAATGATATCTTAATGTTTAAGTTCTGAAATATATAGCTTTTTAATGTAATTAGTGTTGCCCTATATATTTTTCATTATATTTGAATAAATTATTCATATATAAGACATAATAAATTTGTAAAAATATAAAAATTTAACGTGTCCCTAGTATGTCATGTCTTGCATTTTTTGACAATTGACATGTCGGCGTTTCAGTGTCGTGTCCGTGTCTGTGCTACTTAGCTTGGGAGAGCTACTGTATATTCGATTCTTCATTTATTTTTATAGTTTTTGAAAATCAATTTGTATTTATGCTTGGCCATTCAAGGATGATTTTGAGTATTTTCAAAATAGATTGTAATATTTTGGCTTTCTGATTGTTTCATGCAACAATTTTTTTGTGTGTCTTGCAGTAGTTGGAACTGGAGGGGCTATTCCATTCGCTATCAGTATTCTGGGAACAATGGCCCTGTATTAGTTTTAGTTCACGGCTTTGGAGCAAACAGGTCCTCATCGTTCATATTTTGCTTGTCATCTACTAATTGATATAGGTATTAAACTGGACAAACTGCTCGGCACAAAAAATTATCTATCTTCATGCTTTTTGTTGCTTCTATGATTTGAAATGTCAAAATTGGTTTATACGAGGATTTTATGTGAATGGTTTGAGTTCTCAAAGGTTAGGCTAAACTTACACACACAGTTTATGGAGCTTTAAAAATGTACTGGTATAATCTACTTGTAATAATGAGATAAGGGAGGTCTTTCCTATCAGCTAGAGCTATTTTTGGTCTTGTAATGTTTACAAATTAACCTATCATGAGCGACACTTTCCTTTCTTTCATCTCAAGAGTCACAACACCTTAATAAAGATGGGCACATTTTATATTGTGAAATTAAAAGAAAAAAAAAACAAAAAAACACAAAGTTCATTCTCGTCATGGGTAAAAAGCTCAAGAAAAATTAAAATTAAAGAACTTGCAAAAATTGGAATTGACAAATAAATTCAAGGTGGGGCAAATTGAAACCATGTGCAATCAAGTTTTCAGCCTTAATAGTGTCTTATTTTATGATTATTTATGTTAGATTTAAATCTAGTTTGGCTTTTGTCTGTTTTCTAATGGTTTTACAGAGGGTATTTTGCCAATTTCAATTTTTTTTGGACATGATCACATGTGTTGTAAGGTTGCCTATGGTTCTGCTTTTGAGTGAAATATGCTATTGGTCATAACACATGATTTTAGTAGGATTAAATAGGTTTTGGAAGGCGAGGCCTTATTTTATAAATTTAGGAGTCAGGTCTTATTAGAATTAGGAGTTCTTAGAAGGCTATTTAAAGTTATGGAATGTTTCAAATTCAATTGAGAATATGTTTTAGAGAATTTTTTGAGCTTTTTGGAGCTTCTTTTGGATCGTGTGATGTATCCCATCCCTAGATGTGATGCCTAGATTTTCCTCTTCCTTCCTTATTCCTTTTCCTTGTGTTGTTGCAATTTTAATAATTTCAATCTCAAACTGGATTTGTTTAGCCACCCTTCTCGTACCATTAAACCTTATTTCACAAGCCTATGTGTCATGGGGCGAGGTTTCAAACACAAGCACACCTCGTGTGGCGCTTACCAAGTCCCATTAGGTAAGCCAAGCAAGCTCAAATCTTCGATGGAAGCAAATTACAAGCAACCAACCAAAGCAGATACAAGCAAAAGTATGACAAATGGAAGCAACAAACTAGGAGCGAAATAACAATAATTCCGTTAACAAAAGAGTGAAATTACAATGCCACTACAATGCACAAATGTGCTGCAAAATTGCCCTAGCCCTGGCCTGAGTTGGGGTGCATTAAAGGCACAAGTGGTCTGGTTCATCACGTGGGTACCCCCTCCTTATAATAGCTTCTTAGGCCTTTTCAGAGTGGCAGGAGGAAACATTGGGTATGCTTGAGGAGTCATAATGACTATTACAAAATTAATAATAATTACAAAAAAAGGAAATAGGCAACATGCCTTGTATTACATCAAAGTATATATTCTATATTAGTCACACACCCTTGGATGTGCAGCAAAAAGTGGCTAGATTATCCCATATGTGCGAAGGTGGTTGCTGTGGGCCAAAGGGCTCTAGGCTTGCTTGGTATGTGGCTTGCCATGGGGCTGCTTGGGCAACGCTTGACCTATGTCTTGGGCATCTCTTGGGCAATGTTTGGCTCTTTGCTTGGGCACCTCTTGGCACTCATGGGACATCAAAGGGCTCTTTGGGGCAGCCCGTGGCACGATGTCACGAGTTAACAATTCGACTTGAGCTCGCAATGCTTGCAAGTGGCGTGTTGGCCCCAAGTAGTCCAATGCATGCCCAATGACTTTGCACACCAGCCTGCCCATGGATGCACGCTGGTGGGTGTCAAGCAAGTCTTGATGGCAAATGGGCAACCTTTAGGTGACCAAAGGGCGGGCCTCTGACATACTATTGAGAGTTGTCATTGGTCTCCATGTAGGTATGGAAACCCCATGGATAGTGTCATCGAGGGGCATGAGTGCCGACACTACTTGTCATATCCTAGCAGGAGGTTTACATACGCACTCACTGTTCCGCGCATTGTAGTATTTTGTGGTGTCATCTTAGATTGAGCGGATTGGCTTATTGAGGTGCTATCATTAAGACCTCGTGTGCTAACTCGTGAACATTGGCTTGGGTTCAACCGTGAACGTGAGGGTCCTGTAGCCTAGCTAGCGATTTGGTGACAATGCTATGCTTGTGATCATTTGAATGGCATGAAGCATTGCCATCATGCAAGGCACATTGTGCAAACTTGTGGGAAGGCGGAATGCTAATTGAGGGCTATGGACATATGTTGTCCTACTCATGCTACAGGCTAGTGCAATGCCTCGAGTGTGCAATGGCCCTTGGTGGATGGTTTAGCATGTGAGTGTGTGTATCATCAATTCTTGACAATGGATATCGATTCTTAATAGTGACCCGATTGAGTTGTCAATAGTCAATGCATAACCTCAAGGTTCCATCTTTCTTCTTGGCGAACAATGCTAGTGCTCCTGATGGAAATGTACTAGGTTTGATGAACTTTTTATCTAGTAATTCCTATAACAGCGTCTTCAATTCTTGAAGGTTTGCTATCGATATTGGTGAAGTCCCATATTGCAGTTCAATCGTAAAATCTAACTCATGCTTTGGAGGTAATCCTGGTAGTTCATCAGGAAACACATCTGCGTACTCGCCTACCACACGAGGGAGTCCCATATCCTTTCGATCTTCGTCTTCCAAAATCAGGCTCGCTAGCTCCCTTAAATCGGAAACGAGTCGTCACTGTTTTACGGTGACAATCTATCTCCCTTCTAGTTCACAAGATTCACATACTAGATTCACTTGGATTTGACAGCCTAAGGGTGAAGCAACACTCATTGTTGTTTCTAATGTTTCCAGTTCTAAACCCCAGCTATTACACTTGAATTTTCATTTTTAATAGTTATTGGGAAAAATCTGAGGCTCCGTTTGGTGGAGCTCTCAAACTTTAGTTCTATGCTTTATTTTGAACGTGATGTTTGTTTACAGCTTTCAAAAATTAATTCTACACTTATTTTTGAAAACTCTGTCGAAGGCGGGAAAATTTGGGTTAACTGGTTGTCCCCCGGACATCCGATCGGTTGACCGGAACAATGCACATTTTTTTTTAAACAATCGTCACCTTTTATTTTTTATATTTTAAATAAAAAAAATTCGGAATATTTAAATTTTTTTTATGAGCTTTGAATAGAATTTTAAATTGTGTATTTGGTTATGAGTTGTAAGTTTTTGTATCAAATATCATATGTCACATCAAAAATTCTCCACTCAATTCAAAACTCTTTTCAAAACTCATTTACCAAACAAATTTTCCATACTCAAATCATAATTCCAAAACTCACAAACTCAAAATACAACTTTATTCTCAAATCATATTTAGAAAACTCTACCAAACGCTACCTGAGTTTTTAATAGCGATGATGGAAATATTGTTTAATTTTATTGCTTTATCCAGACCCTTGAAAGATTTGCTTGGAGTCGCCACCTAAGATAGAGTTTGTGTGTGTTAGGGCATTTGGAAAATAGATTTCTAATGAGCCAATACGTCTATATTTTATGATTGTTAATGTGGGGTCTGTTGTGTTTTAATGACTTTCATTAATGGTATGTTTTCCCTATATATACTGAAACCTGTTGGGAGTGCATGAACTTTGGTTTTTGCAATGATTGGTATACCAATTTGTTAATTTTATTGCTTATGGAGATGAAAATGTGTTGATTGTGAAGTTTATTAGTCTGCTCGTGGGCTTGGTGGTGAGTGGATGGTTATTGGTATTAATATACTACTGCTTGGATTTTTGACAAACTAACTACTAACTTATATATATGATAATATGATTATACTTAATTACCCATACGTAAAACTGGACAAGCATGCAGTGGATATAAAAGCATGCAAAGCCCCAGAGTCAAACAATACTCGAACCCAAGAATTCATGAGGATCAACATACCTTGAATCACTAATGGGTTGCCAACATCTTCCTAAGAGCGTACATCCTTCTTGTTGCATGTTGGTTAGATCTACATGGCTTCTTTCCATCTCCAGTTCCTTGTGGTTGTGTCCTTGGTTGGCCTACATTCCTGGAGGTTTGTGGCTGTCCCTTTTTGGTTTGAACATTCTGGGTAGGCTTGGAATCTTGTCCTAGTTGGCATTTGTTATATTGTTGTGCCCCTCGTTGATACATAAAATACTCTTTGCCTTGACGACACTCATTTCGATGATGTCCTGGTTGACCACATCTAAAGCACCTTCCCTGAAATTCATTTGCAGGATTTCCTCCTTGTTGGTTTCCTCGGTTTTGTCTGTGCTGTGGTTGCAATCCTCCAAGCATAAGGCGCAAGTGCGAATTGATTCCTATTGTTCTGTACTAGGGCTCCTCTTTGTGGGTGGTTGTTATTTTTTGATCGAGAGTGGTTGTTATTTCTTGATCGCTGATCTCGAATGTGCTCGGCATCTGCCAATTCATGTTCTACAATCAAAGTTCGATCCACCATCTGGCCATAGGTGGAAAGTTGTACTGCGATCAACTGTCCCCTAATATCCATAGCCAAACGATAAACATAAAATACTTAAGTAGCTAGGACACTAATATGGTAAAAACTATGCGGCTCTAGTCAAGATTTCAAGTCAACCAAGACTCCACAATATCATTAACTTTGTTTTCAGCTTCCATCTCTTCCTTGGCAAAACTTGGCATCAAACGCCATGAGCTGCAAAGCCCAGAAAGAAAACACCACAAACCTACCTTTCCTCTCAATAAAATGATAGATCTATGAACATAATAATCATAACTTAATAGTATACATGCAACATAAAGTTACAAGGATTTATTACAATTTCTAGCTTAATTTACCAAGTGACACTTATAACCTTGCTGTGGAGACTCACTTAACCAACTGCTAAGCCATGTCCATGGATGATTTGAAACCCCACTTGATCAAATATTTAGATGTACAAACTATAACTACCAAGGATGCCTACGTCCAGGGTTACGTACCCAAGTACTGGTATCTGTAGTCTATCCCAAGGGAACGGTTTGCTAAGAGTATTCTCCCTGTTGCACCACCCGCACATCCACCCTTATTACAAAAGCGAAATACCGATAAGGGTTCGAATACATCTCGCGCCATCTTAGGGTTTCGCGACACGACCTGCGTAAGACATCTCAAAACTAAGGTTTACCCAGAACAACTAGTAATAAACCGTCAATCGCTAATTTCATAAAGCCGTTTTTCCATTTAATCAGTTACTATGATAATCACTATTGTTTACATATTTAAGTCATAACCTGCACTGTACCATTTTTATTGCAATTTATTACAAGAATTACTAATACATGCGCTCTAAAATTTTGAATTGAAGATAACTATTATCGTGGACCATTATATATTAATAAATTAAATCAAGTCTTAACATTACGTAAAAATTTAAGCAATTACATTATGCAATACTAACATGGTACAATTTAGATAATAATACTAGCACAAACACTGATGTAGGGATTAATTTCCATAAATAACTAAAGTTTGCACTTTTGGACCCTTTTTCTTTTATTTTCCAGAATTCCAGATTCAGTGTTCTAGAAATAAAATTACAAATATAATGTTTAGAAAACTCTAAAATTCATGAGATTTTTAACAGTGGTCAATAAATATGTTATAGTTATTTTACAAAAAGAATTTCCGGAAAACAATTTATGCAAAATTCTAAAAAATTGCAAGAAGACACAGAACACAGATCTGACACATTTTCTTAAAATAATTCCACACTAAATTCTACAAGTCGAAACCATGATCCAAAAATTATTGGTGAAACTAGACTTCTCAAACTTCATTTTTCACTTAGAAAACACTAGATTTGGTTCAGAATAGAATATTTGGTGACTTTTGAAGACAAGGAAGAAATTGTCCCCAAACACAGGTTTAGAATATTTTGAATATAAATTTGTATGAAACTTTAAAAATTATACCAAAATTTATGGGTGTTCTAGACATCATTATTTACAACTTCTTAGAAGAAAGAAACCATCTCAAAAATTTGATTTTTAAAATGTCTAAAAATTCGTGCAAGAGTTTGGACATATTTAAGAAATGTAAGACCAAATCAAGGATAAGTCTTCAAACATCTAGTACATGCCATAAATCACACATGCAACCTTCAAAATAGTACTATATCATGATTTAAATACTATCAACACATAAATATTTTGATGTTTAAAGGGAAGAATGAGAAGGTTTGAGGGTTTTCTTAATAGCCATAAAAGAAAGGAATGAGATAGTGAATGAGTGATGAACTCTAGCCTTCTCTTCTTCTCCTCTCCTTCTTCCTTACTCTATTTCTCTGTACTACAAACTTTCAGCTGAGCAAATAAAAGAGGGCCCCTCATACATATATATAGGCATAATATAACTACACTTAAACCCTAAATTTCTACTGAACTAACCTAATTAATTTCCTACTCTAATTAAAGTTTGCATGGGAGACATCCCATCAAATCTACACTACAAATATTTTCCATCATTCTCCTGTAGAAGATCCCTCTAGACTTCCATGCAAAGCAACAAGTGGTGGGTGTGACTTCCCCCATCCGGCCACCTATTTTCTCTCTCTCTTTTTTTTTTGGAAGAATAAGAACTTATGTTTGTGTATAAATATGTATGTGTGTGGGTTCCTTAGAAATCAATTGAACAAGGTTTTTAACCAAAATAAGTAGGAAAGGTGATTTTTAAGTTGAATCTCTATCAGAAATAGTTACAAACAGAAATATTAAATATTCACAAAATAATTAATTTTAGTAATTTTTTTATTAGTGGCTAAATTTGAATAGTTTTCAACTAATTTATATAATAAAATATTTATTAAAATAGTCTTCACATAAAGAAATTTTATTACACATAATTTATAATGCACTTCAAATTGCTTGTTCAATACTAGTGGCTCAAAAATGCTTTGCCTTCCATGTTGTAAAAATGGCCCATCTAGTGGCCTGAAAGTACTTTTTCTTTTCATGGCTTAAAAATAACCCATCCAATTAAAATTGTATGCCTATCATGGTGTAAAAATTCAAGTTTCTTAAGGCTCAAGTTAAAGCCTTCAGGTCCAAAATTTTTTTACCAAATTCTAATTTCTACAAAAACTTGATTCTGGTCGAAGTTGTTTCCGATTCCATTTGGACTTGTTGACGTGGATACATGGGCAACTTATTCCATTGGGTGCAATAACAAACTTGATTCTTGTTGAACTCGTTTCTGATTCCATTCGGACTTGTTGACCAAATACATAGGCAACCATTCTGTTGGGTGCAGTCACAAAACCAAATAATTTTCAAATCAAATTTCAAAACAAGAATCATGGTTGAGTTGATTCTGGTCGAATTTGTTTTTAGTTCCATTTGGATTTGTTGACACGGATACATAGGCAACCCATTCTGTTGGGTGCAGTCACAAGATCATATAATTTTCAAAAGAAATTTTAAAATAATAACTACGGTTGACTTGATTATGGTCAAACTTGTTTACGGTTCTATTCAGACTTGTTGACACACATATGTAAGCAAACAAATCTATTGGAAACAGTCACAAAACCAAATAAATAAAATCAAATGAAAACTTAAATTTTAATTCTGTGAACTATGTTTGCCTTGATTCCGATTCAAACTTATTCCCCAGTTTGGATTCTTGGGCAAACTGCATGAATAATCTGGGTTCAGTCCCTAAATGTTTTTAAAAAAAAACAAATAATTTACCCTGCTCTTTGTCTAGATGGGAGTTTTGATATTAAGAAGTTGGAATAAAAGGTATTTTTCTTGAAACAAGGGATTGTATTTAAGGGATACGACATATCCTGAATAGGTCCGACCTACATAATTAAAGCTCATTTGACATATTGTCATGTGAGTAAAATTGTGTTGAGTAAAATAAATTCAAAATTTTGATTAACATGATGGATGGTGTTAGTGGTTTTATTCATACTAATAACCATAAGGACAACAGTTTTATATGAAGTACTATGGAATGTAAGTTTAAGTTTAAACTCTATGCCTTTGGATGCTTCTTAATCGGATCAATCATTGTGAAGTTCATTCCAAAAAGAAGTAGCAAAGTGATGGCAGACAAATATTTTTTTTTTTACCATTCAAATGGCAAGTTCCTCTTGTTCATTTGATGGTAATGGTGGAGATTATTGTAACGTATGGTTTGGAGGTAGTAGTAGTAGTGTAGGAGCCGAGAAGGTTTCCGCGACAGTGTATGGTGATTTGTTTTGGGAAGGCAAAATAGAGAAACCAAAATTTGACTTGATATCATTTTTTACTAGGAAATTCATGAATTTCTTTGAGTAAGTGGCACAAGATATTTCTTTTACAATTGTGGACTTTTCCGTTATTAACAAAAAGCGAGTCTCCTTTACTGTATGCTTAAGAATGGCATCAACATTGTGGATGATGAAATATTTTCAAGTATACAAGAAACACATGATTGCAGTCGTGTATAATGTGATTAAATATTTGTCGGCAATCAACATTATCACGTTGTTGAAGGTTTTCCCAAGCCTGAGGGACACTCGCAGAACCAGCTTCTTGCTTTCCTTCTTTCTTTCTTTTTATTGGGTTTTGTTGGGACTTGGAAGCTTGAACTTTTTGACCTTTCCTATTGCTTTCACATCTTGTTCTTTCAAGTATGCATGCTAAATGTGTAAGTTGGATATATTGTTTCACAATATATTAGCAATTAATTATCAAAAGGTTTTTTCCCTTGACATTTTTAAATTGGTTTACCTATTGTGTATTGGTCAGTAATTATGACTCACTTGTCTCTTTTAACAGTGACCATTGGAGGAAAAATATTCCAGTGCTTGCATGTTCCCATAGGGTGTTCTCAATCGATCTTATTGGTTATGGTTATTCAGACAAACCAAATCCTAGTGACTTTGAAGCTAACTCCTTCTATACATTTGAGACATGGGCTGCCCAGTTAAATGATTTCTGTATTGATGTGGTCAAAGACAAAGCATTTTTTATATGCAATTCTATTGGAGGTGACCATCTTTTACTTATCTGATTTCTCTGAGTTTAATCCCTGGTCATCCATATTGATGCTTAATTGATCTTCTCCTTGATTATTTGATTGCAAATAATTGATTGAAGGTACAATATTTATGTATTTTATTTCCTCATCGAGGATACACACTTGCTTATTTTTTGGAAAGAATTTAGGAAAATGTTTTTTTTGATTGGAATCGGGGTGTTTGGATCAAAGCCCGACTAATCCCCAAGGTGCATAGGCCCTTGGTAACGAGTTTCCCACAAGTGTACCACAGTTAATTCAGGGGTTTTCTCCCTGTCCGATGGCTCCAAGGAATTGTTAGCACCTAAGAAGTTTCGATCTCTGAACCTTGGAGGGAGCACACTGCCAAGACCCAAGGCCTTACCACCAAGTCAACCCTTGGGGTTATGAAGAATCTAGGCAATTTAATGTTATGGTCTTCCATTTTTGTTGTTACTGTGGAAATTATCCTAGTACATCATGGAAATGATTTCATTTTTCAAACTATTCCACTCATTTTAAATAGTGCGATGAAGTTTTTATTTTATTTTATTTAGTATTTGGGTAAATTATAGTTATCTCCCTTGAGGTTTTGCATAATTGCAAGGACCTCCCAATGATTTTTGAAATTGCATTGACCTCCCTTACTTTTTTTGACATTGTCAAGGTTCCCCCATCTCGTTAATTTGGCCCAACCAATGTTAACTTCGCTGTGTAAATAACCATAATACCCTTTAAACACTATTCATAGCCTCATGGGATATAGTGTAATTTTCCCTATTATATATATATATATATGAAATTATCATTTTATTTCTTTCAAAAATTTAAAAATGTAATTGTAATTCCCTAACTATGCATTATTTTTTTCCGCTATAAGTTTTTCAACTTTTATAAATAAAAAATAAATAAAAAATCAACCATTAAAAAAGGTGAAAGAATATCCATGTTTTTTGTTTGAACTAATTTTAAGATTTAATTAAATAAAAAATAGTTTAAATGCGAGAAATAAAGATGGAGATATAGATTTAAGGTGCAACAAATGACAAATTATTTGAGTATTTTATTATTCTCAAATAATTTCTTCGTTCAAGTAAAGTTCAATTTTAATTTTAGGTGTAGAAAATGATAAATTGTTTGATTGGTTTATTATTCTCAAATAAGTTCTTGATCCTTTATTCCCTATCAAATAATTTTAATTTATTGTAATAGGATTAGATTTTTTTTTTATACTTTATATTTATTTTTAAAAATTTTGTTAATTAGGTGAGAAATATTGACCTGCATTTTTTTAATATGCATCAACTAGAAATTGAAGGACTTAGATAAAAATTAAAATTTGAGAATAATATAGGATTGTGATAATATAAAAATGATATTTTTTCTATATATGTATAAATAAGTAGTGCAAATTGTTGAAAAAAGAAGTTTAAAAAAAGCAACACGATATTTATGAGGTAGTATTTGGTAATATTTATGGGTTCGTTTTTATATAAATATGAAATGTTATTATGTTTATTTTTCTTAAAAAATATTTAATACACATATATGTTTACAAGACAAAAGAATATACATGTTTCGTACGTTGGTGTGGTATTGGGTGATACAGGCTAGCAGTGATGAAGGAGAAAAAAAGAAAGAAAATGGAGGAAGGAGCATGAGGGAAGATCACCAATTTTATTTTTTATTTTTTATGTGGCACTACTATTGGTTGCAGTAGCACCATAAAAAAAAATGAAGGAGAGAATAAATAGAAAGAAGAGTGAAAAAAACAGAGGAAAGAAAATGGATAAAGAGGGATGTAGTGCAAATTGATTTTTTTTTTTTATAGAGACGGAGATGGTGAACTTTTTTTTTTTTTGTAGAGATAGAAAGTGGGTCATGATTGCACAAAAAGGGAAAAAAAAAAGAAAATGATTAAAAAAATGTGAGAAAAATAAAGAAAAATGAATTAGAAACAATATAGAGATAAAGTTAGTTTATGAGAGGAAGAAGATGATATGGATTGAGATTTTATGTTGTTGAACCTATTGGTATAATACATAAGGGAGGTCTCTGCAATTATATAAAACTTGAAGGGAGGTTAGTGTAATTTACCCTTTAATCTTTGCATTCCTAGAAAGAGATGAACAGGGGCAATTTTGACATTCTAATAGTTAAAGTTGCTGACATCACCTCATTACGTCAGACATTTTAACATATAGATAATAGAAGGGGGAATCTTGACATCACCTCATTATGTTAGTTTATTTTTCTTGGTGTGATTTATTCTCTTCTTCATTCTCTCGATGTCCTACATCAACCACCTTAGTGTTTAGGGGAACTTTTCAGTGTTAAGATCAATCCTAAATTAGTATCCAAAAGTCATCTCATCCATACTTACGATCCCCACCCTTTTATATCCCCAGCACAATGATGATGTGCATGGAAAGTGTAACTGTATATTTTGACTTGACAATTTTTATGTATAAAACTGGGTTGTAATGGAGTGTTTTAATTGTGAGGACTCTTTGGTCATTTGTCATACCAAGCCTGTCACACCGAAATTGAAAGCTTCGTTCTGTTACCCTTTTAGATAAGGTTTACATATATGGTTCAATTGTATTGAAAAAGGTTTTTCAGAAAAAGAGTTCGAAAAATATACAAAAACCTTCCTTGAAAAACAAGTGCAAAATAACCCTAGTTAAGTAGGGGATCACCTGAAATGATTTTCAAGTAGTATCGATCGGTTCAAAAATATTTTTGGTCTAGTAGCTAGCGATTGACAGGCAATTGACCGCATTTTGGGCGCTATCGATCGTAGCTTTGGTTTTCATTTAGCCTTTTCCAATTTCGTTTTTGATACTTTCTATCTAAACACCTCCAGAACTCATATTTCAGGATCTTAACCATTGTGTTTTCACAGCCAAAACACCTTAATCTCTAGAAAAGTTCCGAGCATATATTCTGATCATTGTGAGAGAATTTTTATGAGTTATTTTCAAAATTCCTCAAAACCTTGCATATCTTTGCATTGTTTTTTATACACCTAGGGCCGGTTGGGTAATTAGAGTCGTTCAAGAACGGAAAACGAGACTGCTGCTCCGTGGTGTCTAGAAGATCAAGAAGGCTGATTGTGCTCATGGAGTAATTACTAGTCATCGGGGTTAGGTAAACCTAGGTCTACAGTTGTAAGTCCTCTTGACTGTGTTTTCTATTCTTTGATCTCATAGTGGATTTCTATTTGGTGTTGGGACCGTGATTTTTCCCTCTTGGTTTTTTCACTTAATATTTGGGTGTTATTGTGTGATTTCTTTTCAGTGTGTTAATTGGATTAAAGGCCAAAATTGAGTAAATAACTATAAATTTTAATTGATTAGCCTATTCACCCCTCAATATTTTAGACTCGAATATTTCAGAACGGAAAACGACAAATATGGAATTTCACAAGGAGCACATCTAGGGTTTTACATAAATAATGTTTAGGGTTAGTTCGAGTCTTATTTAATATTGTTTATAGATTAGAATGCTACTAGACAGATTTAATGTATTATTTAGTTTTAGTAGTTAGGGATACTCAGCTTATAAGTATGCATGTAATCTTTCTTTTCAAATAGAGAGTTGGGTTACGAGAATTTGAGATTGTTTTTATATGAATCTTGTTAATTGTTGCGAGGGTGAAGCATCTATTTCCTTCTCTTCTAAGACTTAATCTTCTCCTCCTTTGCACAAATTACTTGAGTCTTGTTATTAGGTTACTATTTATTCGTAATCCTCAAAAAGTGCACTTTTAAATCCCAAAATCCTATAATGATGCCCCAAACCCTTTCGTACATATTGGCCATCAAGTTAACCATTAGGTTCTCAAATAGTCTTTGCTTTGGAAATCCAACAATCTGCCATTTTTGAAAATGAAACCAAATCAAAAATTTTTCCATCTAGAATTCTTAAAAGCCATCTTCTACTTCTTTGAACCTTAACCCTAGCAAATTTTCATGCCAAAATCTCACATTTTTCATCTAGAATTCTTGAAAGCCTTCTTCTACCGCTTTGAACTTTAACCCTAGCAAAATTTAATTCCAAAATTTACTGTAATTCCAATTGTGTAGGCAATCTTGGGCTAAGTGTCCCTATAGTTTTCATACATGACACAAACTCTAATAACCATATATTTTTCATAATCTTTTATAAGGTAATTATGACATCACGGTTTTATTCTGGTTGAACCAGTGACCCTTGACCAGGTCGTTTTCCTGGTTTGATCAATGGTCTGGGTTTTAGAACATTGCCTAAGATGTAACTTTGATACCATGTTAGAAATTTTGGAAGCATCCAACCCGAAACCAAATTTCTTATTGTTTTTATTTTAGGAGACTGGCTTGTTTTTATATTTTGTCTAAAACTTTGGGGGACCCTTGGGAGAAGGGCTGCACCCTCCATACTGTCCTGTGCCTTGCTCAACTTTTTCAAAGATATTGTCTTAATATGCAAGGCATCTTCCCTTGGGAGAAAATGGCAAATACATACTCCAGTCTCATTTTATGTTTGATTTGTGATATGACTCTTCTTATCACACTATACATATCTCATGCAACAGAATTGATGCATTCTTTTGCTGCCTTTATTTTTTATTGATTATTGAAACAAACAGTGCCATAGATTATTTGCATTCCTTTGAATTTTGCAAAGATAAGATTAACATGATGCGTGCCTAAGAAAAGAGTCATCATTGCCTTGCCGTAGGAGTTGTTGGTCTTCAGGCAGCAGTCAGGGAGCCTGAAGTCTGCACGGGCATTATCCTTTTAAATCTATCTCTTCGTATGCTTCATATTAAGAAGCAACCATGGTATGGAAGACCTCTAATCAGATCATTTCAGAGTTTGTTGAGGTAATTGGATATAAAATTGTTTTTCTTACATATTCTAGAGTATTAAACTTGGCAATTAGGGTTTAAAATAATTGTACTTCTTGTCAGGAATACTGCACTTGGCAAATTTTTTTATAAATCTGTTGCCACACCAGAGTCAGTGAGGAGTATTCTTTGTCAGGTATTCCTATATGACACCATGGATATATAGTCACACCATTGTTTGGTAATAATGCTTATAATGTCAAGGGCTACGGATGGAAGAAGCATAGAGAATGTTATGATCAAGGTTTTAAAAAGCGGCCGCAACCGTTACGTAACGGTTGTGGTGGTTATCACCACCTGTTACAGCCACTATAGCGGTGTGACGGAAATTCACATGTGTACGGCCGTTTCGGTGTTACGTAATGGCCTTAGTGGTACCGTAACGGTCCGTTAGACACTGTTACACTCTTTTATAATATTCTGAATAGCTTCCTTTTCCAAAAAAAAAGAAGCAAAAGGTTACAAAAAAAGAACAAATACTCAAGTGATCCAAACCCAAAGAAAAAATCTTATATGAATTTTTCTTCTTTATAATTTTTTTTAAAAAATTTATGGCATAATTTTTATTTTATAATCCTTTCATTTAATAATTGTGAATATTTTTTATTTAGTTAGTTCAGGTATTGGTAAAATTTTTTTTGTAGACATTTAAAATCAATTATTCTTAAAATAATTAACTATTGAAATAAAATGTAAAAAGCTCATTTTGTAGTGATTTAAAAATATGAAATATATTGGATCATACTTAAAATTAATAAAAATTGATCAAAATTTATTTTAAACCCCAATAAATGTGATTTTGAAAAAAATAATAATATGCGTATCAGTAAGTTTTCTTCAAATTGTGCGGAAAAAAAAAAAATCACGGTTCCAATTATCGCAACCGCAACGCTACGGCCTTTACACCCCGCAACTGCTACCATGTCACCGCAACCGTTCCGGCGACCGCAACCACTTTTCAAAACCTTGGTTATGATTGAATATGGAAATTATGACTGACATGGATCCATATGAGTAGCTATCAACATTATTATGTAAAAATTCCCCAAAATTTTGAAGCTTAAGAATATGGTTTTGCTATGTTGTACTATATTGCATAATTTGTGCACAACTATCACTAGCATTATGCTTGATGTGATGGATCCATTCCTCTGAAGGTGCACTAATGGTGATCTATTTAGTGAGAGTTTAATTCACTAATTGGGGCCATAGGGGGACATACTTTGAGAAAAGGTACAAGATTATTATAGTCTATGAAGCATGGGTACTTCAACAAAATGTCGCACTAGTACTGGATACTTACCTGGTATTGGTACTTTGTACCGTACTTCTGCATACATATCTAGATGCACTGAACACGTACCATTCATTTTCTTCTTAATTTTTATTGTACCCTAAAAGTATCTAGTATATACTCGAGCTACACCTCAACTAGAATAATGTTTTGTCCGATGTAGAGGTGAAGTTAGTTTTATTGGACTTTTTCTTTAGGCTTAGCATGATTTTGAAATTAAGTTTTGGTTTATAAGTTATTTAATATAATGACATTTCATTTTGGTTCATAAATTTTTTTTTAAACGTTAAATGTGAAACCAAAAAAACCATTTAACTAACTTTTGTATTACTCTAAATTAAAAATAAATATTTTTTTTACAAACATATCCAACTGTACTTGTACTTTACTTTTTTTAGATTTTACTGTATCAACGTACCCGTACCCGTACCCGTACCGTACCCGTGCTTCATAGGATACAATCATCAACTCCCTGTGGGGTATTTATAGACTTGTTACATTTTGGTTCTCTCTCAAGATTCTTCCATGTAGCTTTTATAAGAAAAACACCTTATATCCTTGTGTCATTACTTTCTGTAGAAATATAAGATATTTGTTTGTACATTATATGAGGAATAAAACCTAGCATTTCTAGATATTTCTACTTGCTTTTCGTAATCGTCAAGATTTATTTGCTTTCCAAAAACTTCTAATGAAGTGTATTACCATTACATCTTCCTTCATGCACTTTTTCAGTACTATTAGCATGTTAGTACTTGAAATTGTTCCCTGAGTAGTCCCTTTGGGGTGATGTTTATTATATGCTCCTTGTACTTGCAATTTGCAACAGTTGAATTCCATTGTTGAACAAGTTGCTACGTCTCATTGGTAGTGTTACTTGATTGTAATATGAATTACGTCTTTTGCTGTTCGTTGTGTCATTGAGTATTCTTCTTAGCCATATAGGTTGACATGCTGAACCAGTTGCAGCAGCATACTCAAAGCTCCTCCTAGATCCCTGATTTTGAAATTGCCTACTAGTTTCTCAATTTTGAAGTAGAAGCATTTCTGAACTTTAGATGCCCATAAATCTGAAATCTTGTTAGTGATTTCTAATGATGTGTAGGGCTTCCAAAACATCTTCACGCATATCTGTATCGTGGTAGGACAAAACATATAGCAATCAAGCATCACTTAATAGGAGAAAGAGCAACCAATGGTGACATCGAGTTTTAAGTATTGCAAGTTTAAGGAGCAAATAGAAAACATTTCCACAAAAGTGTTACTAAGACGAAATTTTCAACTATTTTGTAGACTGCTAGGATTTTCAGAAAAGTTTGCACTTTCATCTGTAAAGTTTTATCTAAAACAACTGTTGGAAAATTTTAGATTACCTCATGTTATTCCTAGGATAATGTACAAACAGATATCTGGTACTTCTAGAGGAAAGAATCTACAGAATGACACTACAGTGTTAGTTTAAACAAACTTAGAAGGCAATTTCAATATATCTATAGGTGCCATGATTCGCTCTGAAATTACTTGGCAAAATTTAGTAGATCAGCTACCAATCAGTAGCTCTTTAACCCCAAACTTCTTGGGTTTTAATGTCTGATATTGAGTGACTGTAAAATTTTGAATTGGAAGCAACAGTTTCAAGATTATTTTCAAAAAAATTATAAGGGATGATGGTGATAAGACCTGCCATAGATACCATTTGCACCAGATCTTAATTTTGGAAGTATACTGGAACTTTTCCCTTGCCAAGTAATTTTGACTAGAAGACCCAGTCCAGTTATGTCCTTGTCTTCGTGGAATAATTCTAATGAACTGTGCTTCTTTCAGTGTTACCATGACACATCCCAGGTGACAGATGAATTAGTTGAGGCTATCCTTCTTCCAGGACTTGAGCCTGGTGCTGCTGATGTGTTTCTGGAGTTCATTTGTTATTCGGGAGGTCCTCTTCCAGAGGAATTACTGCCTCAAGTCAAGGTCATATTTTTAAACTGATCCCTACGATTACGTGTTGCTGATTATATTTTGGTTTTGATGATACAAATTTGTGACTCTCCCTTTCTTCCTCTTCTTCGCAGTGCCCTGTTTTGATAGCATGGGGTGACAAGGATCCATGGGAACCCATTGAGCTTGGAAGAGCTTATGACAAATTTGATTCTGTAGAGGATTTTATTGTCCTCCCTAACGTCGGCCATTGCCCTCAGGTTCTCTCTCTCTCTCTTTCTCTCTCTCGTGCGCATGCACAAGCACACAGAGAGCATGTACAGGGATTGTGATTTGTAGTTTAATCTGGTTTACTTTCTCATATAAAATTTGCTTTGAAAGGCTATTTTTTATATCAGAATGGGACCCTTGACTTCTGGTCAGCTTGAAATGCAAACTTTGCAGTCAAAACATCATTTGGCAAAAATGGCTGATCTAAGTGATTCCTTTTAAATTTTTATGAATATTTTGGGATGATGATAACTTCCGAATTCTAACTGCATCATTGTTGATATGTACTAAGGATGAGGCACCTCATCTCGTCAACCCAATTGTTGAGTCATTTGTGGCACGACATGCAACACCCCAAGTTAGTCTGTCCACAAAAGCTACGTGATCCATTTCCAGGTTAGTTTGTTGCTGCTGCTTGGTGCACTGAGGATATCTTCAAACACTACCTTTTCTGTAGAGAGCACATGGGATTGCAACTGTTTACTTCATGAGGAATGCTGCCTATAGTTCAAGCTGAGTTCTTTCTGAACCTTAAAAAGTCTGGGAGCCACACTGAAACAGTTATGTATGAGACATGATTTGGTAATCTGTAAAAAGGGTTTATTACACGTGTTCATCTAGAGAAGATTTTTATCGATTCTTTCCTTGCTCACTTAAAATTATGTACAGAGCTTCATTTCAAAATTAAAGTAATTAACATGTATAAAAACCAATGCTTTGTTTGATTCATTGCAATAAAGTGGAATATAATGATCATTTCATTGGGAGGTTAAGGAATAGTCATTCTATTATATTCTATTTCATTCTAGTGATTCAAATATTACACAATTACCATGCGAAGATGCTATATGTTTTTATTCCCATTGTTTTGTGGTAGTCAAAATTTTTTTGGGTGAGTTTGGTTTTGGGTGAGGTGGTTTTTTTTTTTTGGTAAATTACATTGACCACCTTTGAGATTTGGAGAAAATACAATAGGTTCCTTGAAGGTTTTAATTCATGTAATATTTGATGAAAACTTTATTAGAATTTCGTTGTCGTATGAATAAAAAAAAATGACATTATCTACTTTTTTACATTGAAATGTACATTTTTAAGTTGTGTATTGTTGTGTCTTCATGTCATCTATATTAGTTTTGGTCTTTAATCTTACTAAAAAACGGTTCGCGTAATTATATCAAAATTGTGGTTTTTTTGTATTTTTTGTGAACTTCAAGGGAGGTCATTGTAATTTATCTCTTTTTGGAACTAGTTTTGGATGAGGTTAGTTAGGATGACAGAGAAGCAAAGTGCAAGAGGGGGGAAAAAATTACAGGTTTATTACACTTTGTCAAATTGTCTACTTAGTTATTAAATTATTGATTGAGTTTACTAAGTCCCTAAAGTATATATAAATCAAAATCTATCTAGTTCTTAAACTATTGATTTAATCAATTAAGTATCTAAGGTATTGAACTCAAACATATTTAGTTCTTGAAAAAATTATAAAAATAAAATATAAGTATATAAGCATTATAAATTAGTAACAATATCCTACTTTGTTAAAATTTTATTTTAAAAAAAATTAATTTTTATTTTATTTTTAAAAAATAAGTGTCAGTTCTTCCGTTGAATTTCTTTATATAAAGGTAAGCGTAATTATTTATAACTTTTGTCTTACTTATCATTTAAAATAGCTACTTATTTGTTTTTATCTAGTATTATATATTGGATTTCATTAGAAATTTTCTAATTGATTGTCTTTAAGTTTTTTCGTTAAGTTCTTTTTATAACTTAATTATTGTATTATTTTGTTTTATTATTACTTGTAATGAAGTGTTATTATTTAAATTATACTTCTTCAATATATTTAATGCTTATATCATTTTATTGGCAATGTTAAGAAATCAGGTTCTGATATTAATTTAAACACACAATGAAACTAAATATTTTTTAAAGACATAATAGAAATTTAAGCATTTTTAGAATGAAATCTTAACTATGCAGTATTTTTAACTGATTTATATACTCATGAGCGTATATTTAATTTTTGTAATTGTTTTAGGAATTAAATAGGTTTAAATTAAATATTTTAGAGATTTAATTGATTCAATCAATAGTTCAAAAATTAAATACATTTTGATTTATATATTTAGAGATTTAGTAGACATAATTAATAATTTAGGAACTAAATAAATAATTTAACAATAGTTTAGTTTAGCACAATTTTTTCTATGTTTGTATGAGAGGTGAAAAGTGGAACAGAGTTCAAGTTTTTTTTTTTTTTTTTTTTTTTCTTTGTCTAAAAAATTCATGTCAACCAAAAACATATATAAGAAGATAAATTTAATTCTATTTTATTATCTGTCAATTTAACTTCTCATGATATTTCTGCGCTCTAATAAAAATATACTCTTTTATGTGATTTACCTGTATAATTGCAAAAAATGAATTAGTGCAAAGGTGCTTAGCCTAGCTTACTTTTTACTTCCATTGTTGTATCGCCCATGTTGACCTTCTGATCTTAGAAAGACCTAAAAATGAATTGAGCCTCTTTGATGGTGTGTGTCTATTATTATGTTTTGGAATTGAGTAGTGTGGCTTTGTAAACAAACATGCCCTTAATATTTTACACAAATTAGAGCATGATATATGGGTGCCTCTATTTATACATCACTTTTTCTCTCAAGGTACACTGTTAATTGGTTTAATTTTTATTACAATATTAATCTTATGTAAAATGACTACAAAGAACAAAGGGTTATGATATACACTTTTTGTAAAATATCATAAAGGACAATAATGAATACCACACACATCAAGTATCTCACACGTTACTTACGTATCTTCTTCTCTCTCAAGAATTCAAAAATCTCGAGACAAAAACCAAAAACCCTCATCACCCTGACCTCTACCCCGACCTCGACCCTGACCCCAATCCCGATCCTGACCTCGACCTTGACCTTGAACTTGGCCACGAGCAGGATTTGTTAATGCACGACGTCGTCTCTCTGAGACAGTGGTTGGAATATGCAAATGGTCATCTATTTCTAAAAATAAAACAGAAAACAGTGAAAGATAAACCTGTTCGAAAGTACAGAGCTAGACTATTCAATTTTGTTCGACACTCAATTTTCGAACATATTGAACTTGTTCGGCAGACTAAGTTCAAATAGTTTACTTAAGTTCGACACTAAAATGTCGAACATATTGAATTTGTTCAACAAAAGCATTCCGAACAAAAGGTTAATGTTCGACAGACCAGTGTTGAACGGTTCGCAAAATCAAACTTTCATATACCATGCCACTAGTTCACAAAACCAAACATTCATATACAATACTCATGGCAATGGAAAAGCGTACATAAAACCCTCAAATCTAAGCAAAATGAGAATTCTCACCTACTGTATCTCCAACGTGGAGTTGTTTCCACCGGCATTTTTGATGAAACAGAGAATGGAGGAGAATAGGTCTTCACCACTGGCGTTGTTGATGAAATAGAGAATGGAGGGAGAGATGGAAGATCATGGGTGGGGTGTGTGAGTAAGGGTAAAGATGGAAGATGTGGGTGGGGTGTGTGAATAAGGGTGAAGATGGAAGATGTGGATGAGGTGTGTGAGTAAGAGTAAAGATGGAAGATTGTGGTGTGTATTGAGCAAATTTTATATTTTTCAAATTACTAAAGGTATGCCTTAAATAGTGGTGTGCCTTGAGATAAAAGGTGGTGTGTAAATAGAGACACCCCATGATATATATCTATCTATATAAGAAGTGAAATTCTATTTACACAACATATTTATCTCTTTATATCCTCAATTTGTGATGGTTTTTTTCCCCTAATTTTACTCATGTATGAAATTAGCTTTAAGGATAAAAGATAAAAATTAAATAGATTTGATTATCTCTTTACACCCATTACACTTCAATCCCTACATCTTTTCTTCCTTTCTCATTTCTTCTTCTCTACTATACATCTACTTTCAAAAAGTGAGAATCATAGTGTTTTGATCTTAAAAGAAAGCAATGGACGAAGAATTGGTGGTGATAGACCAACAAAAAAGTGAAATTGAGAGTTTTTTTTTCTCTGTTTTTACGTTTTTATTTCGTGTTTTAAGAGGGTTGTTTGACTTTTATTTAGTGTAGTAAAATCGAACAAAATCAAATAGCTTGAAATCACACTATCAAATAAAAAATATATATCCAGTAACCTACTGTCGAACAAAAAATATATGTCTGGTAATTCATTGCCAAACATTTTTAGTTTATTTTTCTGACGTTTTTATTTTTTTCGCTTTGAAGAATTATTCTTTTACTCATCGCAGCAAGGCAAGTAATGTATTGTTAATGGACTACAATTATAAATTCATTACAGGCAAGGTTTGTTAGATTTATTTGCTTCCTGATCATCTACTACCTCAGATAACAAGTAATTGGGTTCGCTTTCATCACCCGTGTGCTAATAGATGGAGAAAGTATATACTATCCGTATTGATCAATTCTGTATGCTTGTCAGTCTTGATGTAGTAACTATTGACATAGATGAATTGTGATAACATCTCAGTGTGATTTTCCCTAAATCGTAACTGATTTTTTGGCATTTCATTTTTGTTTTTGTTGTTTGTAGTTTGTTTGGCCTGGTCTTGTTTTTATTTTCATTTGTATGTTGTTTGTTTTATTTAAATATAATTGCTTTTCATGTTCCTAAAAAAAAAAAAGATTTGAAGATATTTGTATTGACAGATGTTTTAAGAAAAGTGAATATGTAAATGTGCGGCAATAGATAGTTAGACAAATCTATTTTATCAGCAACATGACACCGGAACAATCCAAATTGTTTGACAATGTATAACCAAACAAGTCCATCATAATTTATTTATTTTTTTAAAAATGATGTTTTATGAAAAATAAATCTATAAACGTCCAGTAACAGATGAGTAGACAAGTATAGTTTGTTCGGTAACATGATATCAGAGTAATTCAAAAAGAATATGTGTCATAAGAAAAATCAGTAAGGCTTTTGAAAAGGGTTTAATTGAGGATTAGTTTTGATATTATAAAAGGTGCAATGAAAATTTCAATTTTTTTTAATGGTATAATGAGAAAATATGTGCAAAGAGGTAAAATTATGATGTAAGTAGAATTTTTCATATAAGAATTGCTCCACTAATTGCCAAAAGGCTTGTTCTTTTTTATTTCCTATTTTGTCCTTGGTTTGTTCTTTAATTTTCTATTTTGCCGTTTTTTGGTTTCTTTCTTTTTTGTTTTTTCATTTATCATTTTTTCATTTTTTTGTTTTGTTTTGTTTTTTTTTTGTTTTTGGGTGAAATTTTGAGGGTTATTTTAGAAAAATCAACTTTTACAAACGTATTATTTTTGGGTAATTTTATTTGCATACCGTACAAACTCTCAGTACAAACCCCAAATAGTGTTCGGATATAAATATTCGAACAAAAGTCAAATATTCAAATATAAAATTATGAAAATAAAACAATTGTTTGGATATAAATAATTAAATGAAATATATATTTGAACAATTTATTTTTATTCATAACTTTAAATCCGAATATTTGACATTTGTTTAAAAATTTATATACGAACACCATTTGTGGTGTGTACTGAGAGTTTGTATGGTATGTAAATAGAATTTCTAATAATTTTTTCTTGTTTTTATAAAAGGTATTTTTTTCCCCTTGTTTTCTCCAATTGTTGGATAAAAAGGCTTCTTAGTTTTGAAAAATTGCATGAAATTCTTTGCACAATTCAAAACATATTTGATAATTTTGTATTTTTTATTTTTTTTTAATGAATAATATGCTTGACAAACCCTACAATCTGAACAATTTGATTTGTTTAATCTTCTACTTTATTCAATTCTGAGAAGAAAAATCTTATTTTAAGACAATGCTCTCAAATAATACTTTATTAATTGAAATAAAGGGCGAATGCCATTAAATTTAGTGAAATAGAATGAAATTATTAGGGGCTTTTTCCGAATTAAGCCAAATTAGCAACTTAATTCCTAAACTAGGCCTAGTTTGGACAGAATTCTCAAACTAGGCTAAAGCGCTATTACAAACCACGCTTTCACTGTTTCTAGGACCCTCCCGCGGAAAATTTGTGAATTAGTAAAAGCGTGGTTACAAACCACGCTTTTAAGAAAATTTCATTAATACATAAAACGTGGTTAGAAAGCATGCTTTTAAGCAAAATTTGTTTTCTTCAAAAAACGTGGTTTTAAACCACGCATTTACTGTGCTTATAATTAAATTTTATTTTCTGAAGAAAACGTGGTTCTAAATCACGCTTTCACTGTACATATTTGTTTTCTTAAGAAAACGTGATTCACAATTTCTAACCACGCTTTTAAAATACATTAAAATGTGATCAAAATAAAACTTAAGTTCTCTGTAGCTCAAATGGTAGTGCATTTGTTTTGCCTGGTAAATCCACGACATCTCCAAACAATTGCTACTTTTCAAATTAAATTCAACTCTTTTTTTTCTTTTTTTTCCTTCCACTCACTCTATACTTTATATATTTATTATGTAATTTTTTTATCAAAAAAAAGTAAAACGTTTGTTTGGTTAACTAAATTTTTTTTTCTATAAAATACAATTTTTTTCAAAATGTCAACATAATTGTTTAAAAAGTATTCAATGTGTTTAGTTTGAGTTTTTTGAATTTAGTTATTTGAAAACTGAGTTTTTTGATTTTCTTATTTTTTTGTTTTTAGTGAATATTTTAAACATGTTTTTTTATTTTTTTAGATGCACCTTAGTTAGATGTATCTAAAAAGTAAAAAATTTGTGAAAAAATATAAAGTCAAAAATTAATGAATACATAGAAATACAAAAAATGTACTGAAAAAATGTATTTTGAAAAAAAATACATTTTAAAAATATTCACTAAAAATATTTTTTCAGTACATTTTTTGTATTTTTATGTATTTATTAATTTTTTAAAATATTTTTTCACAAATTTTTTACTTTTTAGATACATCTAACTAAGGTGCATCTAAAAAAATAAAAAATAAAAATTTTAAATTTTAAAAATATTCACTAAAAATAAAAAAATACGAAAATTAAAAAAATTAAAAAGTACGTTTGAAAATAATAAAAAAAACGTATAAAGTATAGAGTGAAACGAAAATATTTTCGTATTTTTGAAACCAAATACGAAAAGTACGTTTGAAAATAAGAAATATATGTTTGAAACCAAATTTTTTAGATACATCTGGAAAACAAAAATATTTTTTCAATACATTTTTTTTGTATTTTTCTGTATGTATTAATTTCTTAAAATATTTTTTTCACAAATTTTTTACTTTTTAGATACATCTAACTAAGGTGAATCTAAAAAAGTAAAAAAAAATATTTAAAATTTTAAAAATATTCACTAAAAACAAAAAAATACGAAAAATCAAAAAACTCAATTTTCAAATAACTAAATCCAAAAAACTCAAACAAAAAACACTGAATACTTTTTAAATTATGTTGACATTTTGAAAAAAATTGTATTTTATAAAAAATTTTTTTAGTTAACCAAACAAACGTTTTACTTTTTTTTGATAAAAAAATTACATAATAAATATATAAAGTATAGAGTGAGCAGAAGGAAAAAAAGAAAAAAAAAAGAGTTGAATTTAATTTGAAAAGTAGCAGCCGTTTGGAGATGCCGTGGATTGAACCCGCGCCTATGCGCAGGCAAAACAAATGCACTACCATTTGAGCTACAGAGAACCCAAGTTTTATTTTGATCACATTTTAATATATTTTAAAAGTGTGGTTAGAAAACAAATATGCACAGTAAAAGCGTGATTGTGAATCACGTTTTCTTAAGAAAACAAATATGCACAGTGAAAGCGTGATTTGGAACTACGTTTTCTTCAAAAAACAAAATTTAATTTATAAGCACAGTAAAAGCGTGGTTTGAAACCACGTTTTCTGAAGAAAACAAATTTTGCTTAAAAGCGTGCTTTCTACTCACGTTTTATGTATAAATGGAATTTCCTTAGAAGCGTGGTTTGTAACCACGCTTTCTTAATTAAAAGCGTGGTTTGTAACCACGCTTTTACTATTTCACAAATTTTTTGCGAGAGGGTCTTAAAAACAGTGAAAGCGTGGTTTGTAATAGCACTTTAGCTTAGTTTGGGAATTCCATCCAAACTAGGCTTAGTTTGGGAATTAAGTTGTTAATTTGACTTAATTTGGGAAAAGTCCCAAATTATTAAGGAACAAAAATGTTATTTGCTGGTGGGGGTGGTGGCTGCCTCACTCAGCATGCATGACTTCTGAACTGATGGTTCTCACACTAGTAGATTGAAGAAATCACATGGCTGATACAATGAAATTGTATTATGCTTTCGTGTATGCGTACAAGAAAGCATAATGCAAATGTCCTACATCCATCCCAGCAACCAATGTAACAGACAAAAACAACAGGGAATAGATAGCAGAACCAGCCCTTTGCCGGCCTAAAACCACAACTTTATGAGAGTTGATTGCAGTTTCAATCCTTTTATTCCAGTGCAAGGGTTTTTCATACATTCCTTACAAAGTTCAGAGACCAAGAGTGTGCAAAATAAGAATACCCTACCCATTTAAGAAGGTAGAAACTGATTTTGTTGGCTGCTAATATGACTTCTGACATATCAATAATAAAAAAAAGAAGTATGACATCTGAATTAGAAGATAACATTGAACCTAACTGTGAATGGATGCCAGACACAAGTCACTTCATAGGATCTGGGGGAGAAATATACAAACAGAACAGAGGTGTTGCATCTTATATGAAGAGAAGGCAAATGTTGATAGTCTCCTAGTGAAGGGACAGAAGCAGCACTTCCTTGTTGATGATTTTTCCATCTCATTTTATCTCAATGAGTACACTACAAGGAATAAAAAGCTTCATTACGAATTCTCACAAATTTATTTGGTAAAATATGACTACATCTAATGAACAACAGAAGGATAATAGAATGGGCCTACTATTATCATGTAGATCCATCAACCAGGTCAAAAGTTTTGTTGGACCAACAAAAAGCTGCCCTGATGACAAGCACAGAGGAATTTGACAAAATGGGAGACAAGACTTGGTTCATGGAAATCCAGTGTAAACTTCCGGAAAATAATGCCTAAACGAAAGCATATTGGACATAAATTAGTGTATGATACAGCAAAGAGATATGTCATCCCTATAGTTTCCCCTTCTTGGTTTCATCTCTTACAGATTAGTGGCAATTATAAACATAGGCAAAGCCTGGTGTAAATTAAAAATCAGTAGCAAAACAATAACAAAGGAAAAGAAATGTAACTACTGAGAAAGAGTGCACATAATATCTGTGACAGGGAAAAAAAAAGGGGGTTTATTTTCCTATGATTTATGCAAAAGATTTGAAGGAAACTTCATGAGTAGCATATTACTTGTAGGTTTTTAGGAAGATACAAAGTGTAAAATGTTTTACATCACGTATCCCACCCTCTTTAATTCTTTGTAGCTATTGAGTGAATTGCAAGAATACATCATAGATGGACGAAATAAGATGAGAAAATGAAATAATAGGTGTCCTATCTCATGAGGAAGTCACAAACAGCAAAGAGGCACAAAGAAGCAAAGGCAGTAAAAAGTGAATCTATTGTATAGATACAGATTTCACATGACAAATAGAAGTGTTACAATATAATCAAATACAATAACAGGATAAACCAGTACAAAGAAATGACACAAGTTAAACGTTATCATTTTGAAACTGAACAATAATTGGACCCAAAGGAAAAAGAAGAAGAGATAATTCACAAAATATAACGTAAGCAATAAAAGGTATCTCCAACCTGGTCAGCACGTACTAATCCCATCTTTGCAATCATCGGTCAAGTTATAGAATGTCTCCACCTGTGTCTTTGCCCTGTAAAGAACCTCAGTGTCTACTTCAACTCTCATATATCCATCAAAATCAACAGGGCGACCACCATTCAAAAGCCTCATCTCATTGTACCACTCACTTGTATTTCCCCACAATTCCTTGTAATCATCAAGCAAATGAACGTTGTAATGAGACCTCAATTTATCAAAGTAATTATAGAATGGTTCATTGGTGGCAACATACAAATTCCTATGAGGTTGAATCATCCCTTGAAGCTTTGTAACGAGGGCATCCGGGGATGTATCATCATCTAAATGGGGCCACAGCTCCTTATTCTGTGCTTTATCTCCTCTAACTACATGAACTGCATCAAAATCCCAGTCCATATGACCACTAATGTCAGAAACTATATTCATCAGTCTCTTTGATTTCCACAGTGCGTGCCATGGTCTCTGAACGTACTTTGCAGCTTGGCCTTCACAAACTCTGTACCAATAGTTTTCTGGCTCGGGAGCATCAAATTGCCTCCAAATAATCGTGCTTTTATCTTTCCTAAGCTGCATTGGTGTGACCTTATAGCTAGCAACCTTTTTGACAGGAATTTTCTTTTTGTGCGTCTTATCCCAATTTTTCCAATCTCTATGGAATTCACCCTCCTCCACAATTGAGCCCACCTCTTTCAAATGCTCAAAATCAAAATAAAACCTAAAATCCTTTCCTTCCTCATCCTTATTACCAGCAGTATATGCTGCCGACAAGCAAATACTCAAATCCACCACAAATGTTCTATTCAAATACTGAGCCTCCCCAAGGGCACACAAGAAGCTCCAAAGGTAATGATTCATGCCTTTACAATAATCCCCTCCGCGTGAATAGTACAAATACTTCCCCTGCCTAAAGGCCATATCTGAACCCAACACAGGGATTGTGTCATTGATCTCATCGTCATGAAATGGAGGAGCGACTTTAGCATTCTCACCACTCCTATTTGCATTATTAACTGTAGTCCTTGGCCTGCGGGCATTTGTACCCGAGTGCCAACCCTTCGCATTAAGCACCTTATAAGTACAATTTTCACGATACCCAATCCTAAACCTCCGAAAATCCCTGTACTTCCTCCAAGACTTTTCCTTTTTGTTCCTAAATCTCCACGCCACATCGCACTCATCAAGTCTCAACCCACTGACCGGTGTTTGATACTCCAGAAACACAATTGACTTCAAAGCCTTCAAATTAAACCTTTCAATGGCAATCAAAACCTGAGGATCGGAACAATTCACTGCAGAGATATCCTCACAACCTGATTTCAACGTCAGATTAGTCAATTGGGCCTCGGATTTCTCAATGATCGATTCGGTAACAGCGTTAGGGTTGACGTTGGCAGGTGGGGCGGCGGAAGTAGCAAGGTCTTCACCAGTTTTAAGGAGAGTAGTGTCGGTTTGGAAGGTGGCGTTTTCGAATTGGGTAAAAACTCTAGTGAGGGCTCTAGAAGATTCCCATGGATCGGGAGGTTGGTATGTGATGGCAATTACTGTAAATATGAGCACCGAGAATACAAAGACTGAGAAACACACATTCGTAATCAGCTTTATTAGGTTTTGCCCAATTGGATCCATTGTTGAATTCAACTCTTTCATTGATACAAACCAAACACACCTTAATTTCAATGAAATTGGATTACCCACAGATTTTTTTCAAGTGTAATTTTGGTGATCAAATGAAAAGTAGCAGCGTCTCCAAGCAAATCATGAAAAAAGATTAGGGTTTACTGACCTCTGATATGGAAAGAGCCTTAATTTACATAGAGCATTGATGGTGTTGGATGAAGAGAAGATGAGAGTTGGAGGGTGGTAAGAGGAGAAGGAGAGAAACCAGTGAACTCAGGTTAGAAAGAGAAAGCCAGGGCTTAGTGACGGACACTGTTTGTTTTTCTTTAAACCCTCGATCTCATCTCAACTTCTCGGAAGACTTATGTTCACGTGTTGTCGAGCGAAAGATTATTACCATGATATTAAGGTTATGTTTGGCATATTTTAAATAATTTATCTTTTTATTTTTTTTTATCATATTATTTTTTTTATTTTTTTGTATATCTTTTTATAAAAAGAAAAAAAATATATTTATTTAAGTTATTCCAAACAACCCCAATACACTTTCTTATAGTAGGAGCTATGGCGTCATTGTCATAGGCTTTGGTTTTATTAGAACCATAAAATGTAGCTACAGCATAATCTCTTGACCGACCTCATTTGTGTTTGTCATTCTCTGAAAAAATCAAAAAATTACTATCCTATTTAAGTCGTATCATTTATTTAAGTCACATCACTTCTCTACCACAACACTTCAAACTCAACCCATATTTCATAAAAAGTCAAAAAGTACACTTATTTAGAACATCTTAAACAACCCCTTAATTTAGAAACACTTAAAAAATATAAATTTTACTTATAAATTATTTAAAAATTCATTAAATATAATATTTTTTTATTAAAAAAATCATATACTTAATCTGCGGTAATAATTTTTTTTTAAATATTTATTTCACAAATAAATTATTTGAGAAAAATAAAATTAAAATATTTTAATCCAAGGGAATTGGATTACCAATCCCAACTTTCTAATGAGTTCAGATCCTCTTCGTATACTCTCTCGTTGCTTCCCTACTTGGGACGGCACAGATGCACTCAAACAGATCCAACGGTCCAGATATTCCTATTAAAAAAAGATCAAAACAAATTGAAAATCATATTTTCCCACGCAAAGTTACACATACAGGTTATACACATTTGACATCACTCTCACTCACTCTCACCCTCACCCTCACGATCTTCTTCTCCATCGAACCCAATCTCACCAGCAACTCACTCTCGACGGCGACCCACTCCCAACGACGACGACCTAACCCATCGAGGTGGATTGATTCTCTCTACTTCGCAAACTAGAGCCCTCACGCTCCTCTTACTTACCGAACCTATTGCGCCGGCGACCTTCTCGACAGCGACCCACTCCCCAAACATAACCCATTACTTTGCCCTCATTCTCTCTGCCCTCACTTCGCGAACCAAAGTTCCCCTGCGAGCAAACCAGTCTCTGTAGCTTCAAACACTCGACGTTTGAGTCTGAGGTCATTCATCCATCGGTTAATCTTCATTGTCTTTGTAATTGATTGTTTCAGCTTCATTTGTTTGATACATGAAATCAATCATGTGATATAATTTGGAAAAAGATCGGGACCCCTACAACCCCCATTGGCCTCTGATTGGCCAGTTTTTTTTTTCTTCTCCTCCAATCACTAACCCCCACGTGTGTGTGTAGGTGGTGGAGGTGGAGGCTTGAGGAGGTCTCAATCACTTCCGATATAATCTTTGCTTGTTGGTAATGGTTGTTGATATCCTTGGTCTTTACATACATAATTTTTGCCTGTTGGTAATGGTTCTCCCCAGTCTTGACATATATAAGTTCAAGAAATTCATGTTTGTATGTCAACCCATTGGCCTCTGATTGGCTAGTTTTTTTTTTCTTCTCCTCCAATCACTAACCCCCACGTGTGTGTGTAGGTGGTGGAGGTGGAGGGTTGAGGAGGTCTCAATCACTTCCGATATAATCTTTGCTTGTTGGTAATGGTTGTTGATATCCTTGGTCTTTACATACATAATTTTTGCCTGTTGGTAATGGTTCTCCCCAGTCTTGACATATATAAGTTCAAGAAATTCATGTTTGTATGTCAAGAACTTAACTGATGCACTAAAAATTTATGTTTGTATGTCAGTTTCATTATCATAGTAAACCATGAACTAACCAATATAAACACTTAAAAGATATTTCAATAACTTAACTGATGCACTGAGAATTTTGTTGGATACACATAATAATAGTTCAAAAATTAGGGGAATTTTCAAAATTTGTTTTTATATTTTGTTAGTTTGACAAATATAAACACTTAAAAGATATTTTCAATTTTTTCAAAAATTATTTCTACCATCTAAAAGATAAAATCATGTGAAAAAGATGTTGTTCATCCTGGTAAATATAATGAAGGCTTGTTGAATTAGGTTGGGCATTTGTTTGTAATTGGCTTTATGCAAAGCCATAGTTTCAGTCAGCATCCAAGTAATCTTCACTTTTTTCATGACCTCATCCCATGTTTGTTTTGACCTACCTCTTCACTTTTCTCACAATGATTAAGGATGAAATTGTTATTTTTTTATTTTTAAATTGTGTAGAAGATATAACATTTTTTTTATAGCAGATATAATTTATATGACTTATTCTGTAGCTAACATTTGATTTATATGGTTTTCCAGTTGCATTTTGATATGGATATGGAACTTGAGAATGATTATGCCTGGAAGCCAAAAGAGGGAATGACATTTGATTCAGAACAATGTGCGTATGATTTTTATAATACATATAGAGGAAGAGTGGGATTTAGCATAAGAAAGGATTATTGTAGCAAGAACAAGTTCACTAACCAACTTATTTGTAGAATTTTGGTTTGCAACAAGAAGGGATTTCAGAAGGTTGCAAGTGAGACCTATTGACAAAAAACCCTAGAGCTAAAACTAGGAGTGGTTGTGAGGCTCGATTTTATGTTAAATTAGATGCGGGTATTGGGAAATTTATTGTGACTGATTTCAAAGAAAAACACAACCATGAACTTGTATCACCTGAGTGTGCCCACATGTTACTGTCATAAAGAAAGATATCGACTACCCAAACAATTGAGTTGGATTTGGCCGCACAATCTGGTTTTCGTTTAGTCCAATCTTTCAAACTCATGGGTAGGAAAGCTGGTGGGAGGCAATGTCTTGGGTTTACAAAATTAGACCAAAAAAATTATTTAAGAACTAAAAGACAACAAAGTTTAGCATATGGAGAAGTAGGCAATGTGTTGCAATACTTTAAAAAAAAAATCTTTGCAAAATCCTTCTCTTTTTTTTATGCTTTCTAGTTGGATAATGAGGAGCAAATAACGATTAGGTTTTGGGTAGATGCACAAATGATCATGTATTATGCCCCATTTGGTGATGTAGTTACATTTGATACGACTTACAAGTTAAACAAAGAATATAGACTCTTTGCATCTTTTGTGGGATTCAACCATTATAGGGAAACAGTTATATTTGATGCAGCCTTGTTGTATGATGAGACCGCCAAATTGTCTGTATGCTTGTTTCAAACTTTTTTAGAGGCCATGTCAAGAAAGGCACCAAAAAATTTGTTCATCGATCAAGATGTTGCAATGGCTAAAGCCATACCCATTGTTATGCCTGACACGAGTCACCGATTGTGTACTTGGCATTTGATGCAAAATGCATTAAAACATGTTAATTGTCTCTTACAAGATAAAGTGGTAAAGAGTGTACTAAATAAATTCATGTTTGACATTGAAGATGAAAATGAATGGAAGTTAGAGTGGGTTGAAAAGCTTGATAAATATGATGCTCATGATAACCATTGGTTGAAATTGACTTTTACGGTGAAAGAAAAATGGGGCTGGCCATATATTAGATCGACATGGGCTGCGGGAATGAGTACCACACAATTTAGTGAATCTTTTAATGTTTTTTTGAAGGATTACATTTGTTTTAAATGAATTCTTCATGCATTTTGAAAAGATACTTTATGAGAATCGATACAAGGAGTTAGAAGTAGGATATGCTTTGTGCCAAAGATTGCCAAAGGTGAAAGCGACAAGAAGAATGTTAATTCAAATGGGTAATGGGTATACAAAAAATATTTTTGAGGAATTTCAAAATGAGTACTTTCATTCCATTGAATTGGACATAAAAGTAATTGAATATGGCGAGGCTTGTACCATATACACAGTTGTTGTTGTTGCTAGGAAACATGCAAAGAAAGTCAAGATGAAGAGGGATGACTCTTTGGGTTGTAATCGTACAAAGTTTGAAAGGAAAGGAATTTTGTGTTGCCACTCTTTGAAGGTTATTAGAGACGTATTGAAGATGAAAGAGGTTCCTTCACAATACATTCTGAAGAGGTGGACCAAACAAGCAAGAGCTAAAATTGTGAGGGACATTAATGGGAAATGACATTCAAGTAGATGTCAAATTCTAACAAGCCTCATGGTGTAAGACATTGATGACTGTATTTAGAGCAATAGCATGTAGAGCTGCTGAAATTGAAGAAACCTATGATTTTTCAATTGCACAAGTCACTACATTAGGTGCAAATGTTGAAAGCAAGTTAAGTGCTCATTTTGCTGCTCATTTTGCTGTTGAAAATGAAGTACGTAATGATGATGAAACCCAAAGCTTTGAAGTGGATTGCGAATATGACAATCATGTTGTGCAACCAAAAGGATTAAAGAAAAACGATACAACTAGTAAGGGTAAAAGGAGGGTCAAAAGTGGATTTGAAGCAGCGTTGGTAGTGAACTTAAAAAAAAAAAAAATCCCATGCTAATAGCTTGGCTTCTTCAAAATCTATTACAGGTCCAACAATTAGACATTCTTCATTATCTGTTGGAAGAGATGCCCATATTCGTCAACACGTTCCTCCTCTTTATCCTCTTCCTCCAGCTTTTGCCATGGGTGGTAATTCAATTCTTCCTCCATTGATGTATCCCACATATCATGTGAGTGTTAGTTTAACATCGTATTTTTTGTGTGTGTATAATATGAAACTCAAACCATTATTGTCAAGCCTAATATAATATGACATTGTTGTAGGCAAACAATTTGCATAGGATGTATGTAGTGCCAAATTCAATGCCTTAGCGCTATTATGCTCAGCCTTTAACGCCCTGAAGTAAATGCAATATACCATCCAAAACGATAAGTAAATAACAATATAAATAAGAGTATAATGTCCTTATATTATATGAGATTCGATTGTACAAAATGGTGACACATGCGATATACATTCATAAATAATGCATCCTAAATCTACAGCATGTGTTACGAATCAATAAAAAAAGATAAAGCTAAACAGATAATCATATGCCTTAAAGGCTTACATCTTTCTAAGTTAAGGCTTGGGTACATCAAAAGTGAGTCCTGAGCTTAATATGAATAATGCCTTAAGCTTGTACAAAAGTGAATACAAAATAACAAAACTGAGCCTTCAGCTCTACAGTCCTCCTAAGCTAAGTCCTTGGTTGAGACATATCACCAGCACCTGAAAATGGTTTTTCCCAAATAGGGTGAGCCAAAGCCCAATAGAAATAATGTAACACAATATATGAATCTTGACAAAGATATAAGGGTGAAATGCATATGCAATGCCTATGTCAAAATGGTTTACATTTCTTTCTCAAAATCGTGCCATGCTTAATTTATATCACAATTCTTAAATCATGTCAACCTTTCACGAATATTTCATCCGCAGGAAATTGTCAAACGGCACCCGTGTAAACGTAGTCTATACAAGCACTACTATTGCCATTTTACGGATATTTCATCCGCGGGAATCGACACCCATGTATATGTGCGTTTTTCGGGACTTTCACTCTAGACACACAGACCAACTTAGTTTGGTAGTACACACCTCTGTTCAACTTTCACTCATTTTCTCAAAATCACATACATTTGCAATGTATTTAATGAGCAACAATATTCAATGCACATGGATGAGAAATTAGTTTCAATTCACCTAATCCTCATGCAATTTCTACAACAATCATATCTATCTTATCGATAGCCCCAAAATAGATATTTCTAAACGGATATAAAATCTCCAATATAGATGAACTTTCCAAATTTCGAGGTGAGTGACAATACATATCAAACTCCACCATCTATATCAATATCCATCCAATTTCACATTCCTAACTTCAATTCCATTTATTTATACAAAATAAATATTTGAGACATTTAAGACAAACCCTATTTCTTCCAAAAATCCAATTTCAAGTATGAAATCAATACTTTAGCCACTACTCACCCTTATTTCCACTCCCATAACCATTTTCCATACATCCATTTGAAAACCCCCCCTTTTAAAAAAAAAAAAAATTTAAACCATAATCATAGGTTTGTTCAAAATCCTCCAAAATCACAATATTGTTTATGAAAAACAAATAGCTAAATTAAAAATCATAAAAGAGTGTAGAATATCCCTACCTCGAAGCTAGAAGATCAAGGAGAGAGTAGAGAAACCTTAAGGAAGTCGAAATCCAACTCTATTCGGATGAAAACAAAGCTCTAGATGAGCTCTACCTTTTTAACAAAGAGAGTAGGGTGGAGAGATGGGTAGATCTTGGTGTATTTGTAAAGAGAGAGTGAGTCCTAGAGAGAGAAGGTCTCAACTTTAGGTTTTTGAAATGTTTAAAGAGAGAAAGAGATAAAAAGTGATATAAAAAGTGACTTTTACGAACTGATATACGCACAGTCTGCTCGAGCATAAAAAGTGACGCTCGAGCATCCAGACACAATAAGTTGTTTCGCTTAAGCGCAGAATACACACTCCCAGTAGTTTTACAGACAGCAGATCAACACTCAAGCGCAAGAACGGCCGTTCGGGCTCAGGAAGCACCGCTCGAGCGTAGAATACACTCTCTTAAAGTTTTGCAGACCGGCAAAAGTACTAAGAATTCACAAATCCCACTCGAGCGCAAGAAGTGACGCTCGAGCGGAGGAGTAAAATTTTGGGCAGCCAAAGTTTGAAAACCAAGCTACCAACCTGTTTCCAACGCAACCAATACAACCCAATAGCCAAACTCAAGGAGGCATAAAGGAAATAAGACAAGAACAACAAAATGAAACCACGAAACCCGAGTCCACAATTACAAATGGGTCGGGCCAAATCAGAATCATTGTATAACCAACATTCCAGTCAATACTTGAAGGTTTATGTGGATATGACATTAGGTTTCGATATTCTGAAGAATCAAATAGTCAAATGTGTAGCTAGGTTCTTTCATTAACTTTGACAATTGTTATTACATTTTATGTACATTAAGTTTGCCTTTTTGCTTAAATTCATTGTGTCTTTATAATATTTTTTTTTTTGGGAAATTCAATTTGCCTCATTAATTTAGTTGTTGAATTTGTTGTTGTGTTTTTAATTTTTTTTTTGTTTTTGTTTTAGGCTATCGACAGGCACAAAGACGTGGAACGCATTGGAAATTTCAGTCATAACAGCTCATAAATGAAAGTCTCTTCCGTAATGTTACTGAAAATGTTGCTAAGAATTGAAATATATATATATATATATATATTTTAATGTTGCTAAAAATGTCCATGTAAAATTGGCCAGATTTATATATTGGCTTGTATTTACAATTTAGAGAAACTTCATTCTTTCTTCTGTTGATCTTTGAATGGAAGAGTTTTATGTGCACTTATACCATGTCTATATATTCTTGCATTAGTGTTGTGGGTAGATTTCATGTTAAATTTAGTGGTTGATGTAATGCCCCGTATTTTATTACTCGGATAACCTTACCAATATTCATTAATTAAGTTCATTTACAAATAACATTTCATCCTTGGATGAAATGATGAATAATTAAATATACATATTCCCTCTCGTTATACAACAACGACATTTACATATAAATAAAAGAAATGCCCTGAGGCTTACAATAAAAGAGAGGACACTACTCTTTACAAAAAAATAGTACTCAGCCAAACAACAAATGAAGTAGTACAATACATCACTACATTACACTTATGAAATGGTAAAAATTATTGTTTGATCTTCAAATCCGAAAAGCATTCCCTGTACACATGTACAGGTAGGGGGTGAGCAACCACTAGCTCACCAAGCAATCTCATATTAAAACATTAGAAGATATGCGGGTACCAAAATACTCGTACATATACGTGAAATCATAGCATGTCAAAACCATATGATTTTATTACATAATTTCTTAAATCCAATTTATTTAATTAACCACAACAAGTTAACTTAAATAAATAAACATGTTTCAATAGCAACAGGACATCTTTTTCAATTCATTCAATTATCTCATTATCAATTGAGTCAAATAATTAAACAACTTATCAAATCCATTTTATACAGTCTTATGAGATGAATGCATATGCCATGTCATGCTCAAAATATTTTTCTCATCTTTTGAAAATCTTACGCAAAATGCCATTTCGAAAACACATTAATCCAATAATTTCAATAAAATTTCAAGATGGTAAATACGACTCAGGTAATCCCTAGGCTGGTGTCTGCAAATAGACTATACAAGTACTACCAATTTGTCATTTTTACCAGTATTAACTAGAAGGCTCGACACCTATCATCTATACCATCTTTCAATCCCTAGACTGGTGTCTGCAAATAGACTATACAAGTACTACCAATTTGTCATTTTTATCAGTATTAACTGGAAGGCTCGACACCTATCATCTATACCACCTTTCAAGACTTACCGCCGTATTTATCCCAAAATCATTTCATGAAAACTTGTTTCACAACATTCTTTTCTCAATGCAAAGTTTTCAAATCAAATTTCAAAGCTCATCATTATCAAATGAATTGATACGCCAATACAATGGTTAATAATACAATGCAATATTTCTTTCACTTTCAATACTTCCATACAATATTCTCATTGTGATCGAAATTCTCATTTCTCATTTCAATATAATTTCTCAAGATGAATATAAATACTTTTATTCTAATTCATCCATGGGACAACAAAATTCCCACACTTAGAGTAATCTCAACCATTTAGTCACTTCAACACTATATCAACATTTTGAACAACAATTTCAAAAACTTCAACAATACTCATATTCCATGAAAACCATCATTTATATGTAAACAAATAAATATTTTTTCAAACAACATTAATTTTGGCACACAAAATAAATATAACATCTTCAAAGATTGTCAACATTTTTCTTAAAAACTCTCAATTTCTAGATTTTCTCACCAAAACCACTCATCTTCATTTATTGAAAGAAAGTCACCAAAAACATCTCTCTTCAATCCTCATAGTTCCAAATCCTCAATTTCTATTTTAAAAGGAACAAGAAAGTAAACCCACTTTAAAAAAAAAAAAAAAAATCTCTCATCTTCTTGAATCAGCCATCAATTTTCAAAACAAATTAAAGGATGATTTTAAAAATCA